CTTGACTAGCTGTGGGCCTTTTGTCTTAATCACCATCTGCTGCAAAAAAGAAGCTTCCCTAGTGAGGGTTGGGAAATACACTGACCTGTGGATATAAAGATAAGAACACACGAGGGCAGATAATACTGTGTCTAACAGAATAATAATACTGGGTGCTCCCATAGAGTTAGCCTCTGACCTAGCCATGGGGTGGTACCAAGCATGAGTTCCCTCTGATGGAGTAGGCTTTAAATCCAATCAGAAAGTGGTTGGTTTCTTCTCTAGCGTTAGTGTCACTGTTGCATCAGTGGGAATCTTTTGCTAGGCCAATCTTTTTTGTAGCTCACAGGGTTCAGAATTGGGAAATGCTCTTGATGACTCTTCTCTCCTGCTGGTGTGCATAGAACCTTCCAGCACTTTGAAAGCTGGTAGGAATGAAGCTTCGACCTTGGTGTCAGCGTGATTTCTCCATATCCTGTAACTCACATGTGGTATCTTTGGCAGTGTGGTCTTACCATCACAGAACTGTAAAGTCTCTGTAATTGGGTCAGTTATCAGGCTTCTTTGGTCCTAAAGGCCTACTGATTGTTTCAATGTTATTTGGTAATCATTGGCTTAAATACAGCTAACCATTGTTTCAGTGTGCTGTCTGTCAAACTCTGGAAGACTGTAGTTCTTAATCAGCAGCTGACTCAACAACATTCTCTGTGTACTTGGATCTGATTCTGTCCCTCAGCTGCTGATACACCACATCACCAGGAAGTGTGCTGACACCACTCCCATGGCAGACTTTGGACTTGGTCAAACTACTTACCTGCTTTTTTTCTCTCCCTAATTTCACACCGGTGTCATATTCCTTCTGAGAATCAGAGGCCCACTGATGAATCTTTTGGATCAAACCCTTATATGTGAGGACCTCATCACTTAATATCCTAGATAGTCTTTTTCCTTTTCAGCCTCCCGATGCCACCTCAACTCTCAGGTGGTGTCGCTCTCTAACGGTGCAGGTGTAGCCCTCCCCACAGGCAGGGCCGCCTGGTCTCCTATCTGCTCCTGCTTCTCCACATGATTGGCCTCTCTGGGTTCCTTCTCATCTGCATGGAATGTCTGGATCCCTCCTGGCCATTCTCAAGGCCTTGCTTTCTATATATTTTTCAAAAACCAAAATTTAAGTAACTATAGACACACCATAATACCCAAATTCATGTCTCCAGATCAGACTCCTTTGACCCAGCTGTACAGCCTCCTAATATTACATGGCCCTGTAATTGACAGTCATTATAGCCTAACTGAATTTGTGATTCCCCCTAAAACCTGGCCCCTTGCAGTGATCTCTTTTGCATATTAGTGCTGCCCACGATATACTGTTCCATAAACTAGAAACCCAGAGTGCTCCTTAGTCTAAATGGCGCTTCCTTCATCTGACCCCTGCGCTTCAGAATCTGCCATGCCACCATGGGAAAAGATAACATTATGTGCTGCCATAGCAACAACTGTCTCTGTATTCTTTTTCTGCCCACAGAAGTTTTTTGTTTTGTCTGTGTGGTTGATTGGTTTTGTTTACATTACGTTTTTCCCCAGACCGAAAACTTACTAAAAACATTTTGGTCGCTTTTAAAATAAAAGTCCAATTTTTAAAGTTTTTCAGTTATATTTTTATTGGATTTCTGTGTATTTCATACAATACATCTTAATCATATTTAGACCCCTCCCCACCACACCCCCATCATAGCCTACCCACAGGATTTCATGCATTCTATCATATACGTCAAGGCCTGTCGAGTCAAGTTTGTGTCCAGATGTCCCTCCGCATGAGTTCAGCCGCTAGCGCTTGTTCAGTCTAGTGTCACTCCCTTAAAGACCAGCTGCCAACAGTTCCTGGTCTGAGGCTGGGCCTTCTGCCCATTTCTGTGGTGGGCTTTTGTCTGATAAAGTGTGGATGGGTCTTGTGCCTGCTGTCCCCATTTCTGTAAGCGCACCTGAGCACATTCCCAGAAGCCTGGAAGACCCTGACGTACGTGTGCTCTGAAGCAGACAAGCAGTGAAGTCACTGCCCCATTCTTTCGTCATGCCATATTTGTGTGTATATTTAGAGACCTCTGACCTCTAATTAGTGCCTCATTACATTTTAGTTGAGAAACTTTTAAAATGTTTATGAAAAGATTTCAAACTGATAAGCAGAAGTTTGATCAGTCGTTGTTATTGAGCCCAGTTGCAGAATTATACAGAAGAAAGTTCTTTTAAAACATGGTCCTAGCAGAAGAGGGAGGTGTTTTCCCATCTCATCCATGAATGGCTGCCATAGGAAACGAAGTTGAGCCGTGTAAGTGCAGCTCTGGCTTCATGGCTAAAGTGCCTCACTACGGGTTGCTCTCGGTCAGGATTTTTAACTCTGAAAAAACTAAAAGTTTATAAGGCGTGTATATTTAGAGACCTCTGACCTCTAATTAGTGACTCATTACATTTTAGTTGAGAAACTTTTAAAATGTTTATGAAAAGATTTCAGACTGATAAGCAGAAGTTTGATCAGTCGTTGTTATTGAGCCCAGTTGCAGAA